GCAGGCACGGGCGGCCGGCCGCACGGACGGCTGACTGCTGGCTCGGCGGCGCGGGCTGGACCGGGGTGGGGATTCCTGTCTGGGGCCCCTGGGGCTCCTTTAAGGGCTCCTGGGTAAATTTAAAGGGGCCGCACGCTATTTCCTCCTGCCAGCTCGCGGGGGGCTCGGGGGGAGGCGCAGAACCCAGCCGAGGCTCCGCAGCCCACGGCCGCCAGGAGCGCGGACCTCGCCGACCTCGCGGGTCTGCACCGCCGCTTCCGTGGCTCCAGTCCCCGTACACGAAGGGTGGCTGAGGTGGCTAGGGGCGCCCGCGTCCACAGTGACGCTCTTCTACCCAGGCTCGGCGTACAGCCACCGCCCCCTCGGGGCATCTCAGCGCCCGACTCCTCGCACAGCGCTGGCAGCACCAGAGCGCCTGATGCTGAGCCGGGGAGCCCGCTCCTTGCCACGGCACCCTCCTGCCGAGCGAGCTGGGATAGAGCGGAGCGCGGACCCCGCGGCGGATGCGACTGGCCGGGGCCCCAGCTGGCTGCGCCCCGCCGAGAGGGTGGAGCCGCGGGGGCGGCCGCGCCCCCTCCCCCGGGAGCCGCCCGGCAGCGCGGGGAGCTTGGCTTCTCCATTGGAGAAACTGACGGGAGAGGATCCAGAAGCCGGCGGGGGCCAAGGCCGCGGGCACTCGGGCCAGGAGAAGGGGCTACACCGGGGCCCGGCGCGGCGAGGCCAGGTGGCCGGGGGCGAGAAGCCCAGAGGATGGGGACTTCGCGGCCGTGACTCGCTCCTGCCCCCGCAGGCCGTAGCTTTAGACCCCAGCCGGCCCGAGGCGGCGAATAACGCTGGCCTGGGACGGGGTGTCGAGCACCTGGGGACGCGCGCCACCAGCTCCCGGCGGGGACCTCAGCTCTTGGGAATCGGAGAGGAAAGGACTCCTCGCGGCAGCCCGGGGTGCGGAACGGCTGAAGGAGCAGGTGCTTGTGGTGCTTGTGGTTGGTCGCCCACAACAAAGGCAATTCCTGGAGATCTAAATTACTGGGTGCAAGAGGCTGGGCAGGGTTTGTTCTCTTCATGGTCTGGATGCGCCGCAATCAGCTACGGAAGTCAGGGCGGACAGATTCGTTCACTCAACGCCTACTGTGTTGCCGGCATTCTTTTGGGCATACAGCAGTGTACAAAACAGACAAGACTGTTGTTAATTATTTTTGTGATTTTGAAAGCACCCACGGCTTAGAAAAAAGAAAACAATTCTAGCCCTTCGGGAGCCAAGGGAAATATTAAGTCTAGTTGAACGCTGGAAGGCTGTGTCCCCTAAGGGTTTCTTAAGTCCTTACTGGTGTCTGTCACCTTGGGAGATGTCTCATCTTCTTCCTCGGTCCTCCTGATGACCTCTGAGAGACATCAAGTGAGCAAACTGAGTCTCTGTTTCACTGCTGTGCTCTCTCCACTGTCTGCCTTGCTCTAGGGAGGAGATATGGTTCCTTTCACCATCTTGAGGTCCCTGGGGCCACTGAACCTGGTGCTGATGGGCCGCTGGATGGGGTTTGTCACCAGAACCAGATGTTCATTCTCTCATTAAGTCCCTCACGTGGGCCAGGACCAGGGACACAAAGGGAAACCAAGACACAGAACTGGCCTGGCCTTCATATGTTTTTAAGTATGGTTTTAAAAAAACAATAAACAGACAAAAACAAAACAAAAAAAAACTCAGCCTACATAAATGCCAGAAACCTATTCCTTGCCCTGAAATCTTTAAATCTTAAAACAAAACATCCCTTGGAATCTTGTTAAAAACAAAACAATAGTCTAGCTTGGTAGTGGTGGTGGTTGGGTGCTGTCAAATTGGTCCAACTAATAGGCGTCCTGGTGCTGTAGAGTAAGCACTGGATTGCTAACTACAAGACTGGTGGTTCAAACCCACAACTGCTCCTCGAAAACCCTGTACAGGGTTGCTATGTGTCCAAACCAACGGGACAACAGTAGGACACTTGGTGTGGTGTTGTAGGATTAGCTCTGGACTGTGAACCACAAAGTAGGCAGTTCAAACCCTCTAGCTGCTCTTCAGAAACCTTGTACAGAGTCACTATGAGTCCTAGTCGATGCCACAGCACTTAACATCAACAATAGGGTTTCTGAGGCTGTAAAGCTCTACCGGAGCAGCCGGGCTCATCTTTCTTCCAGATTCGAACTACTAACCAGTTCATAACCCAGTATGCCACCAGGGTGCCTTCATTTAGCTTTTTGTTGTTATATGCTGTGGAGTTGGTTCCGACTCATAGCTACCCTGTACAGGGTTTCCGAGGCTGTAAATCATTTAGCTTAACTAGGTAAAAAAAAAAAAATCTGTCTTGAGTTTATATCACTTTTAAGATCTATTTTGTTGTTGTTGTTAAGTGCCGTCGAGTGGGTTCCGACCCATAGCGACCCTGTACAGGGTTTCCGAGGGTGTAAATCTTTACGGGAGTAGAAAGCCTCCTCTTTCTCCCGCGGAGCAGCTGGTAGTTTCGAACCGCTGACCTTAAGGTTCGCAGCCCGATTCGTAACCACTACACTACCAGAGCTCCTTTAAGATCTATCTACATGGGATCAAATTGACAACAACTCTAAAGCTTAGCTGGGAATGTAAGGGACAGTGAGCCTCTGTTAATGGGTGAGAAACAACTCAGCATAAAATGCACAACAGGAAGAATGTAATGAAGGCCCCTAATTTATACTTGTAGAAACTTAAATTGGTGTATGTTTTGCTGTGTATATTCTCAACAACAATAAAATAAATTAAACTGAAGTATTCTGCATAAAATAAATTTATTGAAAACAAACAACTTTTCCTCTAGAGCTGAGGGGGTCTCATACTTTTAATGGCGTTTCTAAAGGTAACCACATTCTGAGCCTGCCTCTGTAAGACACTTTGGTATCCGCCCTTCCGGGACGGTTTCTATACGTATATAAATGTTGGAAGCTGTTGGTCAGCAACTGACTTATAACAATCTCATGCACAAGGGGATGAAACACTGTAATAGTACCATAATTGGTGGCAGATTGGACCTTTGACAGTGTTTTCACAGACTGCTTTTTAGACCTAGATTACCAGGCCTTTCTTCCTAGTCTTCATCTGGAAGCTCTGCTGAAGCCTGTTCAGTACCATAGCAATACATAAGCCTCCACTGACAGGTAGGTGGGCTCTGTGCCTGAAGACTGTTGGCCAGGGTTCCAATCCAGGACCCCTACAGGGGAGACAAGAATTTTCCCAGTGAACACTCCATGGATATAAAAACACTTTTTATATCCCTTACATGGATATAAATCGGATCCGCTTGTTACCCAAAGAAAGGCAGCAGCGTCACCTGGGTCATTTTTAACAACTTCAGACTTTCCCTCCTCCTCCATAGCCAGTTTAGTTTCAAGAATGTCCCCATGCTCTCCTATTCCAAAGCTTTCATCATTTGCTTTTTGCAGTAACACTGTGAGGTAAAAGTTTCACTCCTCAGGGAAGATACGGTGACTCAGAGAATCAAGTGCCTCCCTCAAGGCCATTCATTCATTCATTCATTCATTTACTCAGCCCCTTAATCAGGAAGCACTTACTGAGCCTGACCTGAAAGCCAGGCACCGGCTGGCAATGCAAGGGTTTAAAAATAACCTAACACAGCCCCCGCTTTCACCTTCAGCCCACACTACTGGGGAGGGGAGAAACGCTATCAGGATCACATCATGACTTCCCTGGACACATGGCACTCTGACCCTTCTCGCTCTATTTAAAATAAAAAATTTTTAAATGTAAAGAATTTCTTACATTTTTGTAGGCCCTAAGCATTTCTTTTCTTTTCCGTAATAGGGTAAAAAAAAAAAATTGTTTTGACCCTTGAAGTGATTTTTTCTTCTTCAGATTTCAAAATATATTAAACCATTTTCATGAGCCCTAAAAGCACACCGTGCCTCTTGTGTCCACTGAGAAGTTGGCACAGTGACAATACAAAGTGATAAGTGCCAAGGGAGAGAAAAGGTCACACTCAACCTAGGAAGGATTTCTAGGGTGCATGTTGCTCAAAAGGAGTCTTAAAAGACCAGGACAGATTGGCAGGAGAAAGAGAGGAAGAACTGGTCAACCAGGGAAATGACTGTTGGTGGAAGATTATCAGTGGGAGAGGCAGAGGAGGTAATGGAAATAAATTAGCACAGGGGCCAGAGTCCTGAGTGTCCCTTGAAAACACAGTACCTGGACCCAATCGGCAGAGACTTCTAGAGGCAGCTCTGAGAACACAGAGGGACTGAGGAGAGTGGAAGCGGTTAAAGCTGTTCACACCAGTAAACAGAGCCTATGTTAAAAGCATCCACAGCAGCAGAGCCAATGACAGAAGGCAAAAGATGTGCGCAGAGCCACAGTGTGCTAGTGTGCATTGATTGGCACCCACCCGGATGGAGGTGGAGGGACCAGTGGAGGATGAAATGCGGCCTATCCCCCTAGCCGCCTCTTCTCACCAATGAGCTCGTTGTCAGTGAAGCTCTGTACCTGGAAGCTGCTTCTGCCTAGAATTGTTTCCATCGAGTGGTAAACTCCATATAGGGCAGAGTCCTGGTGTGGCGCTGTGGTTCAAACTGCAAGGTTGGTGGTTCAAGCTCACCAGCTGCTTCTTGGAAATCCTATACAGGGTCTCTATGAGTATGAGAAACTCAGTCTCATCATTCTAGCTTCTAAGAAGCACTCTGGCTGTACTTCTTCCAACACAGATTGGTGTTTGTTCTTTTGGCAGTCCGTGGTACTTTTAATATTCTCCTCCAACACCAAAACTCAAATGCATTCATTCTTCTATGGTCTTCCTTATTCACTGTCCAACTTTCACACCCATGTGAGGTTATTGAAAATACCATGGCTTGGGTCAGGTGCACTTTAGTCCTCACACTGGCATCTTTGCTCTTCAACACTTTAAAGAGGTCTTGTGCCGCAGATTTGCCTAATACAATGAGTCGTTTGATTTCTTGACTGCTGCTTCCATGAGTGTTGATGGTTGATCTGAGCAAAATGAAGTCTTTGACAACTTCTATCTTTTCTCCATTTGTATGAATGTTATTTATTGGTTCAGTGGTGAGGGGGTTTTGTTTTCTTTACATTGAGGTACAACCCATACTGAAGACTGTGGTCTTTGAGCTTCATCAGTAAATATTTTTAAGTCATCTTCACTTTCAGCAAGCAAGATTATCATCTGCATAATGCAGCTTGTTAATGAGTCTTCCTCCAATCCTGATGCTACGATCTTCTTCATAGAACCCAGTTTATCATATTATTTGCTCAGCATACAGATTGAATAAGTATGGAGAAAGAATACAACCTCAGGACATACCTTTCCTGATTTTAAACCATTCAGTGTTCCCTTGTTCTGTT